ACAAGATGGCCATGATGATCCATTCAAAACTGCTAAATGCATTCGCAGACCCTGCGCAATCGTGGCTTCGTACCATCTGTCTAGAGCTAACTGCCAGATCTACTGCGCACACAGAGCATTTTTTTCAGAACACCAGAAATACCAAGAGGGCCCGGGATTTCAGTGTGGGTATCCCCTGTTAGTGGCTCTTACGCGCCAGGCGCAACTTATCAGAAATCATTGAAAATGATACTGCAAGATCAGAATGTAAAGGAAAAAATTAATCGTTCTGAATTACCGCAACATTATTTTTAACAAAAGAATGAAATACAAGCAAATAACACGTAATTTTAACAGCTCTGAGGTTGATAAACGAAAGAACAGAAGACGAATGGGTTACCATTTGGGCTGAAAATCCGTAAATTGATTGGTTCTGGTGAGATGCCCTTATTCTGACCCGTTGCTCGATCTGTTTCATCTTCGATTTCTTTCCGGATCATATCGAAGTCCGTAAACTTCTGACTTCTTTTGTGCAAAAATTCGCCGTACTCTGAAGTTTAAACTTCAAAATTTTTGAAGCAGCGCATCTAAACCATCTCTTTCTCCCATAGAATTTATCATGTAAATCAGCAATTCCACTTTCTTCACCGAACCACGAAAGTCTCCTTCTCAAGTGGCCACTCTTTCAGCTGCCTTCTTTCGTCCCACCGTTTTGCACATCCTTGTACAGTCAGCAAAATCTTCACTCCACTCACCTCCGAATTGTCTTGGGTACGAAAAATGGGATTTTTCCTCGCAACTCAAGCAAGTTAGTCGAACCGAAACCCGGCCTGCACAGTGGAATTTTAGTACTTGACGGAATGGAAATTATTTTGTCTAGTCTTTGTTGCTTATTTCCAATTCTTTTCGTACAAATTCTGCTTTTTTACCGCCCAAAAGCTTCGGGACATTTCCAAACATAAAGCGCGGAACTTTACATACCACATTCATTCGCAGCTGACCAAGAACCATAATATATCTGCTCCCTAGTTTTCGCAATTCTGCAGTCAATCTAACTGGACAGGCATAAGCAAAAACACGCAGGCACATTCATAATGTGTCTTTATTTTTTTTTTTTTACATGGACGCATAAGCCCATAAAATGGAATGAATTATGCAAACAGACGCAAAAATAAGTGGAACAAAAAAGAAATTGCTCAGATGGAAAGAAAATTAACTGCACTGGAGGAGAAAAAAAAGCCGAATAGGAAAACGCAAAGTGTTGAATTTTGCAAAAGAAGCAAAAACTGTGCAAGATGCGTGAAAATGAGGGGAGAAATAGGAAAAAACGGTGCCATTTTCACCA